GCTTCTACTATCCCTAATAGGTTTTGCAGGTCAAAGCCAAGTACACAGAACCAGCTGTCTTAATGCTGTCTAGTTTAACATACATCTCAACCTACCAAACAGTTGTTCTACTAACCATTAGGGATGGCCTTCTGGTTCCATTCGAACATGAGTTTGAATCGAACATCGGCAGTTCGAGCGTTTGCCGAATGCCGAACTTCATAGGATGTTTGCGGTCTGTTCGACCGTGCAACGTCCCATACTGCAAAGAGCCCTCCGAAGCTCTAATTAGTTAAAGACTTGCACCTGACCACGGGTCAGTTGCAAGACTTTGCCCAATCAGGGCTCAGTACTCATTGTTTATGTTTTGCCTGTCAAAATGCCATTATGCGGCGGGAGTTGGCAGGGAGTGGAAGGGACAGCGGCTGGCGGTTTTTGTTTTTTATTATTATTTCTATTTGTTATTTTTTTTATTTAGTCGCCGTCATGGACAACGCTGGATGCCGTGATTGACCCTGGATTACGTCGGCGGATCTATTTTTTTTTCTATATAAAAGACTTGTCAAAAACATGTCTTTAGTTTTTTTTTTGATTTAACCCTTTAGTGAATGGGTAGGGGTACAAGTACCCCTTACTCATTCACAAAAGAGGGGGTCGGCATCTGGGTGCCCCTTAATTAAAGGTGTACCCCGATGCAAATAAGCCCCCTTGCCTGCAGACCCCCACAACCACGGGACACTTTCCCAGTGCCGAGGGCATGTGGCATGTGGCCCTGCCAGGCCTATGCTCGGATCAAGGGTTTGGTATGGAATTTTAGGGAGGACCCCACGTTTCCCCCCCCCCCCATTTTTGGGGGTGGGGTTGCTCCTTAAAATTCCTACCAGAGCTTAAGGGCCTGGTATGACCTTGAGAGGGAACCCCACACACTTTTTTTTACATGGGGTCACTCCTAAATATTCCTTATTCCTACCAGACTTTAAGGGCCTGTTATGACCCCACAGACTTTTTTTTTTTTCTTCTTCATGGGGTCCCTCCTAAATATTCCTACCAGACCTTAATGGTCTGGTAGGACTTTTAGGGGTAACCATATGCTTTTTTGAAAATAAAATGGTCCCTCCTAACATTCCTACCAGACCTAAAGGGTCTGGTATTGTTTGTGAGAGGGAACTGCACACTTTGAGAGTAAAAAAAAAAATCAGAAATGTCAGTTTTGCTGCAGCAAGTTCTATACACATCCGCCACTTCACAGGCATGTCAAGGGGACCACCCAGGCACGATATTTGAAGGAATTTTTCATTTTTATTCTTACCCTTTTTGTTCTTTGATTCCTGTCTACCAGGGCAGTACCCAGACCCCCATACACCTTTTATTGGCAATAACTTGCATATAAGCCCTCATAAAGGGGACAATCATTTTTGAAAGTTCAACCCCCATTGACTTGCATTAGGTTCGAGTTTGTATTCAAACTTTTCGGGTGTTCGAATACGAACCGAATACAGGGGTGTTCGGCCCATCACTACTAACCAAATAGTGTCTCTCAAACACCTGTGCTGCAATCATGTACGATCTTTGCTCCTGCTCCTTCTTAATTGATTCTGAAGACTTTATGAGCCGTTTTCTGTCTGCATGAAATTCCCAGTTAATTGTGTTGTGTGCCTGGTCTCTTACATCAGCTTAAATCTGTTGCTGTCTTGTGACTTCTGTGAAATAATGATCCCTGACACCATCGTTATACTGGTTAGTTATGAAACCGATAACAATCCTCTAAATCAGCCGTTATAAACTAGGCTTTCTTCAGAGGTTGCTAGGGTTTACTTAAACACTGAGCAATGGTGGATTGGCCACCCACCTAATAGTACTTTCATGGTTCCACACCCATATAACTTGGCAGAACTAGTGGTGTGGAACCAATGAACAGTGTCAGCAGGCACTACGCTGACCACCAATGTTAGGTGCATTCTTCCCACTGACCTCCAGTGTTATATGACATTCTTCCCACTGAACTCCATAGTTATATGACATTTTCCCACTAACCTCCACTGTTATATGACATTCTTCCCACTGACCTCCAGTGAAATAGGACATTGCTAACTTACCTTTTTAATGACCAACAATGCAAGTGGGCCCCTCTCTACTGATTACACTATGGCGACTTTATAGTGACCATCACTACTAAGGGACGCCTTGTTCATTTTATGATTATTACTGAAAATACTTTCAATAATAATTTCATACATGGAATTGTTAAATGATTATCCTCTCTAGGTTTTTAAATATGCTACACCACAAGTGTGCCATATTCTTTACTCTTCTGTTTGTTATTATGTCTACAACTTACTGATTGCTTTATTGTACCATTAGCTGTAGACACCAGTGGCTGAGACCTGCTGATTATTTTGAAAGGTTCTTCTATAGGGAAAATGTTGAGGAAGGCTGGCTTAAGTATAAATTTAAATACTGTACCTATCCTGTCCATAGGGAGAATTCTGGCATTTAGGCTTACTACTAAGGAGAGTCTTATTCATGACACCAAAGGGAATAGCCTACATGCTTCTAATAATGAGAATTAACTTTACAAACAAAAAAATGTTCTACTGTACATGTCTTTTTTGTTACAAATTGGCTCCCATAATTCCTCTCTTCTTCTGAAGCTGAAAATGCAGCAGTAGAGAAGAGTACAGTGTATCATCACCTACTGGCTGCTTTCAAATCACAATTCTCAGCTTGTATTGTGTTGTACTGAGGAACATGGCTGTGCTGGTGGTACAGAGGGTTCTAATAATGGAGGTAATTCCATTGTAGCATGAGGTTCTTTTGTCATTGCTGGTGAGTTACTCACAAGTAGAGAGCTGGGAACTGGGGGAGTTTGTAATGCAAGCAAGTCAAGGACATGAACATGAAATGCAGTCATTCAGTTGGAGCACAAGCCAAAAAAGTATGTCACTTCAAAGTAGGATAAAGTGATTTTTGAGAACCTACACTGGTAATACAAATAACACCATCCAATCCATATATGTGGAGAAACTATCGATTTTAGGAAATGGTTTTCACCGTGCCTGGATTTCAACCGTTTTTTTTATCATAGATTTTATATATATATATAGATCTATCTAAATAGATAGATCTATACATATAATATATCATATCATGGAATTAGCAACAGGAGGAGTAGAAACACCCATTACAGTGGAAACTGTGAAACTCCAAGGTGTGTAGGAGCAAAGCCTAGAATTATAGGGAAAGGGGTAAGTAGCCCCTGGGTGAATGAGATAACCAGGTGAATTCTACTCTCCCCAATGAATTTTTAATACATGTAATTTTATCAAGAATGTTACAGAAGGAATGAGATTTCAATGTGAATATGAACCAAGCCAGAAACTATTATAGGTTTGTACCCCCTTCGCCCTTAGTGGAGTGACTCTTTAAATTTAGTGCTGCTGGAACTTTAATCAGTCTGACTGATTTGTAGTCTGGTATTATTTGGTCATTCTTAGGTGTCCTGCTATTGTCTGCACCTACCTGTAGTGGGGTTGTGACCCAGCCAGAGTGGCTCAGCCAATAGGAGAACACTGGGGATCTCTCTCCAGCCAAATCACTAGGAGTTTCATGGTCAGTGGTGCATGCTGGGGAAGTGCAACTCAAGAATTGCCATGTGGTCTGGTCAGTCCATTCCTGGGGCTTAATTGAAAAACCAACAAAAAGTGCCAAAAAAGACCACTCCACTATGGGTTGACATGCAGGAGTGCTAAGGGTCGCTGCCCCACTACAGCCAGGGAAACTGTGATATCTGAGAAGGAAACAAAAACAAGGGGCGCCTACCCTGGTGTAGATAGTTTTTAATGGAAGATGGCAAAATTTAAAAACATACTCACAAGAGTAGAACACATTCTGAGGAAGGGGGCGTGATCCCGGAAACGCGTTAATGCAGGCACTTTGTGCTGGTACACAGGACTGTCTGTTCAACTCTCATCCATCTTTCACCATTCCTTGGCTTTTGAAAGCTCATTGTGTTCTACTCTTGTGAGTATGTTTTTAACTTTTGCAATCTTCTATTAAAAACTATCTACACCAGGGTAGGTGTCCCTTTTTTTGTTGTTTTATTCCTGGGTCTTAGTTTGGGGTAGAGTGTACACAGATGGATATGCTAACTAGGCCTGAAGCCTGCAGGAGGCAAGATGTGGACACAGTTGGGGTCTGAAACTGTCTGTGATGGAGAACCAGCGATGCCCTTTTTCTGCTGGAGGTGCCAGGAAAGCCAAGATGGCATCACCTCAGGAACAAGTCTGGTGTCTCTTGCAGGAAAGATCTCAAGTATCTCCTCTGTCTACCTGTGGCTTTATTGCATAGTGTCATCCTCTGCTCAACTAAAGTGTTCCTGTACTGTGGAAGCTGGAAGGTACTGGTGAATCTGAAGTATAGTTTTGTCCATGGATGTCTGTAGCCCTATGGCCAAAACTGAGAAAGAGGGTATTCTAGAATAAAACATTGAAAAGGTACTCAAAGTGACTGGTGCTTAATTTACTATTCACATCCCACAACCTGGCTAACGATCCGTGCCTGGGAGTGAAATGTCACCCCTTCCTGCCTTTGGGGTTCACCACATGCTTTTAGGGGTCAGGGGGGGTGCTGCAGGGAGATAATACCAATAGTGACTCATAAAAGGTTCAAGATACGAGTAGGTGACTGAGACAACTCATGACTTAGACCTGATATTTGTTTGTTTGTGGTACATTTTTGGATTCTATCACAATGCACCATGAAGAGTGATATATTTCATCAATATTATGCTATCTCGTTTCTTCAATTTTATCTGATTTTGTAGCATTTATTATATGTTATTTGTTTCACCTCTGAACCAACAGACAGCACAAGTTAAGTAAAATGCAAGAAAAGCTTTATTGAATCAAAAAGAGAAACAACTTCATGTCCTATTCATTTGCTGCAATAGAATTGCTTAAGTGCCCCACCACAAGCCAGCACCGCTTCCTCATGTGGTCTTCTTTCAGTGTTTGCTTTTCTGTTTAATTCATCTTTTCTTCTACCTCCTCCACCCTTGAAGACACCACCTTCCCATCTACAACTTCTTCAACGATGGTTTTCACCTTTCTGGTTTTGGTTGGGTCTGAAATGAAGAACAGAGTTAATTATATATATATGCCACACTTTGGTTGTTCAATATGTATTACGACAAAGGGTAGTTAGATATTTGTGTGAATCCAGCCTTTCTGTTCAACAGGCATTTAATATACAGGTGAAACTCGAATAATTAGAATATCGTGTAAAAGTAATGGAAGTAAGTGCTGCAAAAGGGGCCCAAACCAAGTACTGAGTACATATGCATGCTTGTACTTTCAGAGGTCCGATATTGTTCTATGTACAATCCTTGTTTTATTGATTGCATGTAATATTCTCATTTTCTGAGATTGTGGATTTGGGGTTCTTGGGGTTTTCATGAGCTGTAAGCCATAATCATCACAATTATGACAAATCACGGCTTGAATTATCTTGCTTTGCATGTAATGAGTCTATCTCATATATTAGTTTCACCTTTTAAGTTGGATTAGTGAAATAAATGAACTTTGCACGATATTCTAATTATTCGAGTTTCACCGGTACATCTGGTATACAGACAGCTGGCAAGCATTCATTAAAGTTCACTAGATGCAACCTAAACAACTTCATGCTAAAGAACAACAACCTCCTAGCAAAGTATAAAGGGATGTTGGGTTGTGCTATTATAATTTCTTATGCACCTTAGTGCCTCAAAGGGTGCTCCTAAAGATTCTTACATGTAAGACAGTCCTCCTGACAAATGGCCACCAGCCACTACAAAAGGACGCCAAGACATTTGGCAAGCGGCAGTTTAGACCACTTTTGTGTCCTGACAGCCCACCATCAACCTGTTGAATGTTCCAGGTATTGTTTTTTCACTTTCACAAACCAGTGCTCTGCTGCTCAGATGCTCAACCTAAACTGCCTATATGGCAAAATTACATTTTGTAGGAGCATGGAGAACAACTTTTACTGCCTATGTAATTTAAAATATTGATGTAGTAATCAGGTTTTTATGAATCATTAGGGTTTTTGTCTTGAGGGGGGGTGGGGGGTATCAAATCTATTTCATCAAATATTAGTTTCCTAATGTTGCCTGATGAAGTTTATGATAGCCTAAAGACAACCAAAATCATCAGCCAAGTTTATCAGTTTTGACAAGACCTTGCTGATATCATCTCATGCCTATGAGCGCCTTTACACTGGTTGCTTCAGCAGCCATCATCCCATCATTATAGTGATAGGTTACCTTTTTTGGAATCTACAGAAGATGTCTGTGATTTTGATGTGGATGAGGAGGAAACCTGTGATGTGGATAGTGATGAGGAGGAACCCTTTGATGCGGATGTTGATGAGGAGGAAACTTTGCTTGATGATCCTGAGCTCTGGGAGAATTGACTGTGGAAAGAAAAGTTCATAGTTATTTTGAGGGTCAACAATTACATTCATGTAAAGACAATACAGTCAAGCCTGGATGTAATGCCTACATATTCACCACATTCTGCAGCACAGTGGTGATGTCCCCTCCCCCATGATGCCCTGCCCTCACAGGATGTATTCACTCTTCAGGGTTGAATATCGCTGTCCGGCTTTCAATCCAGAAGACTGAGGATATCTAGTGGCCGAAAGGAATTACTGCTGGTTGGTTTAAAAGCTCCTATGGGAGCCTTAAAATAAAATAGTTTGGGCTTTCTTTGCCATAATCCAGACAAAAGTAGTGTTATATACCAAAGAAACCTTTTATGAGTTCCTCTACGTTTAAATTGAACTTCCATACTGTTTTATCTCTCACCCAAAATGCAAAAATGGGTGAGAGATATTTTTTGGACTCACCCCAGTTCTCCATCCAGCAAGCGGCGGTAGGTTTCAATCTCCTGCTCCAGCCTGGTCTTGATGTCGAGCAGTTCTCTGTATTCCATGCTCTGGCGTTCTATGTCTGATCTGACTTGAATGAGCTGATCTTCTGTTCCGCTGATGATCTGCTGGAGCTGCTGCAACTGTCCTCCATAACGGCCTTCTGTATCTGCAAGGGTATCTTCAAGGGATTTTTTCTAAAAGTTTGTAAAAAAAAAAAAAATCATTACCTTGCATGCATTCTATAATCAACAATTGGAATTTGTTAACAGATCCTTTTATAAAAAAAAATAACATTTTAATAAATGAATAAATGCTTAAGTGGCTATTGTAGCAAACTATGAACATTACAATTTTCTACTACGCAAAAGTAATATGACCAGTCTGAATACTGTTTTCACCAGTTGGACAGTACAGGGCAGCACAGTAGTTGGCACAACCTGCAAGGAGTTTGTATGGTTCTCATATGTCTATGTGATTTTCCTTTCAGGTGTCCCAGGTTCCTCCCACAATCTTAAAATAGTTTGCTTCATTAATTGGCTTAGAATTGGCCCTTTTGAGTGTACTTGTCAGGGACATTATACCATAAGCTTGGGACATTGATAAATGTGTTTGGTTCATTGTTCCTTTATACCTCTACGGAATATGTCTACACTACCTACATGAGTAAAACTAATAGTTTAATAGTAGAAGAGTTAAGAATAAAAGTCAATATCCCAACCGGGCAAAAAGGAAGAGAAGGAAGGGGGAGGGTCCTAGGATAAACGTGGCGAGAGAAATTTACGGAAAAGAGGAAAAAACTAAACTCTGTTTAGATGTATGCTAGCTAGGAGGAGAATAATCTGGGTTCAGGGTGCTATTAAACTTGTGAAAGCTCTAGAGGGCCAACATGTCAATGTTAAAAGAAAGGAGTCCATTTTCTTATGATCAGCAGATACCAGACTCTCCATGTACATCAGATTGTTCATAATTGTGGCCCAGGATGCCAGAGATGGAATTTCTGATGATTTCCAATGTCTGCTGATAGTAGAGCGGGCAAGCACTAAACAGTGCTTAAGAATTATTTTTTTTTACATACTCTTAGTGGCTTTTACTTTCTGATAACAGCATTTTGTACTGAAGCAAGCTCTATCTAATATCATATTGTGATTTACTTTTTGCAGATATAAGGGTATACCTATTCAGTTGACTAAAATGCATACTTTTCAATAAATCTCTGTTTAGACATATGGCTGTAGATTTAAATTTATCTAAAGCTAAGAACAAAATTGTAGAAGGTTGCAGCTTACTGATTCATAGATGTCATGGCAGGATTTTTTTTTTAAAGCTAAGTACATTTTCTGCAAGTCCAGAAAAATACCCCATTGATCCTAAAAGAAATCTTGTGTCTTGCAAATTTTTGTGGACTGAACTGAAATCTCAAACAATGTTATCAGCTTTCTCGGCTATCTTAAGTGAATTACAAAGCAACACCCTTAACCTAGGCTGTCAATGCAGCTCTCCATAGACACTGTACAGTGAGTGAGTGATGTCACCATAGGACAGGAAGTGTGTTGTTTGCAGGATCGCCCGGAAAAATTAAATGAAAAAAAAGTAGTGCAGCCACCACATCTAAGATTTGGTAAGCTACAATATATTAGACTTCTCTGCTTGTGTTTAGGTAAACTTTAGTATCTCTGAAGTTGTCCTAAAAAGTTGGCCAAGGAGGGACAATGGCCAACAACTTCAAACAAACCCCTTTAACCTGGCATACAGGTTAATTATTGTTTAAGAGCATTCATTTGGGAAATATGTTTTGCTGTTACATGGATTGTCAGATCACATTTTGTGTTTAAATATTTACTCAATACTTTAGTTTCTCGGCTTACCATTGCCAGCTGAGACTGGAGCTCAATTTCTAAGCCTTGGAGGGTACGTCTGAGGTCGGAGATTTCACTCTTGGTTGACTGCACCTGTTCCACACCGACTGAAATTTCCTTCTTCAATTCACCGCTCTAAAATTGTAATATATCTTGTTTTATTTACTTCTGATATTCAGTTTTGGTTATTCAAAATTCTCATTATAAAACAGACTAAAGAGAGCCTTATTAGGGTAATGTAGTACCTTTGATGCATACCAAGCCTCGGCATCTCTGCGGTTCTTGTCAGCCATAGCTTCATAGTCTTCCCTCATGTCATTCAGAATCTTAGTGAGATCGATACCTGGAACAGCATCCATCTCTACACTGACCTGGCCGGCAGCACTGCCTCTTGCGATTTGTGTTTCCTAAGCATTGGTAGAAAAGACAATTATTTGAAAAGTTTGTATTAAATCCATTCCTATGATTCATAAAGCAAGGTAATTCATAAAATAAAGGCCCAACAAAGCACGGCCATGCTTGTTTCTAAAGTGGGCGAAAATTAAAATGGAGGATCCAATTAAATTTTTTTTTTCTTTCAGTGCAGAGTAGATAGTGAAAGCTAATTGGTGTTTAAAATGACCAATAGGTCACAGAAGGAATATACACAAAGCCATGGACCACACACACACTACTTATTAGCTAGTCAATTTAACCAGCTTTACCAACAACCATATGATATCAGGCCCATTGCATAGTTGTTTAATGACCCACCTATTACACAGTTGTTGGTAAATCCTGTTGAATTGACTGTGCAAAACCATACTATGTATGACTTGCTTCGGTATAATACTACCCATGGGCATGAGGTGGCAGTGGGAAGATCTGACCACTGAAAGACATTCTATAGAATAATCATACTATAAACATATACACTTGGTCGTGAATGTTTATGCACTGAGCAGGCATAACTTATGCCAGCCTTATTGTGCCACTTAAAAGTGGTACAATCTATGCCAGAACATCAGTTTTTCTCTCCTGCGAACAAAGGGACTATGCTTTGTAAATGGCAGCCAGGCAACTGATTACAAAGTAATCCACATGATGGATGTGGGTTTCCTAGGCAAGTTGGACTGCCATAAGAGCATTGAACAGCACACTGCTATAGAATGCAAAATACATTTAGGGGAGTGTATCAAATGCGTTTAGCACTATAATTGTGGGCCACATAATTATATCCGGCCCGGCTAAGGTTTTTTCTTGGTTTATTGAACCCATTGTCCTCCATTACTAATTGCATAATTTAAATTTTTTTTACCAAACATTTCCCAGTCTGCTGCTTACCTCCTCATGGTTCTTTTTGAGGTAGGCCAGCTCTTCAGACAGGCTCTCAATTTGGAGTTCAAGGTCTCCTCTGGACAGGGTCAGCTCATCCAGGACCTTGCGGAGGCCATTGATGTCAGCTTCCACACTCTGGCGGAGAGCCAGTTCATTCTCAAACCTTAGGAAAAAAGAAAAACAATTTAGAGACCCAAATACTAGCTTTTAAAACACATAATAGGATTTGTATATATTCAGTTGGGCATTATGTGATATGGCAGAGCCATATGTTTATCACACAAAATATTGCTCCTTGGCTTATCAAAAAATGTCAGTATTGGATTCTTAGAGCCAAGGTGTACGGGTGTTCCCTCATGTAGGGGTGGGTCCATGACACCCATGACTCTCAATGTCATTCAATGCTAAAGACTGAGGGCATCTAGTGTGCAAAAGGAATTACTGTGAGGGACAACGTCATAGAGGAGGTGCTCTTTTATTTACCTAGCTGGGAAACCTTTTTTTAAAGAAAAAAATAACCCAGATTTGTGTTAAACCTTTAATGGAGTCATTGATCCAAAGACACAACTTTTAAAACTGGTAAAGCATTTACACAAGAAACATGGTATAAGCAGGTATTAGCAGAAGGAACATGGACAAAATGGAAATTGGTCTTAATTGCAGAGTAGGGAGTTGTCTGTTTCTATAGGATCAAAGAAGATTTACTCTCTTGTCATCTTAATCTTGTGAAGGACAATAGTTGTATCTTACCTCCCTTGAAACTAAAGAGATTTTTAAGATAAAAGGATAAACTCAACATACTTTTTTCCAATCTAGCTAGCAAATACATTTCCATATTACATTGACATTTTAATACAAATCTGACTTACTTAAGTCTGAAGTCATCGGCAGCAAGTCTTGCGTTGTCAATTTGCAGGACAATGCGAGAGTTGTCAATGGTAGCAGCCAGGATCTGGTAAAATGAAAGACAGACAGGTTTTTTGTCTTGCTTGTATACTGAGATAAAGGTGATGAAAGGACGCATTGTGTGTGTCAAAAACAACCATGGCATGGCCCTGAGAAACAAATGTTTATGTTTGGATAAAGAATATGATAAGGCCATCATGGAGAAACTCCATTTATAACCAATAACATATTTCCTCACGTTATTGGAAGGCTAAGGTAGTCATAAAAGGATCTTCAACCATTAGTAATGTATTGTATGCCAGAAATAACACTAATTACCTATTCTGTTCTGGTATGCTAATATAAGCTTTTTTTTGGTGAGTATAAGTTTTTTAAGTGAAGATATATTGGGCTTTCATTTCCACTGGCACAAATGACATTTTATAATAGATACAGCTGTCTACAGTTACCTACTGCTGTCATTAGCAAAGCATTTTAGTATCTTAGCATCAAGCAACTTGTTATCAAATATATAGGGCACTTCCAAAAACATTTTCATTGACAATGTTTCATTTAAAAATGTGCTATTCCATTGGTTAGAGTTAAAGTTATATAATATTTAAAAGAAGAATGCAATGTACCTTGGCTCTCAAGTCATTGATGATGTCATAGTATTTGCTGTAGTCTTTGGCTCCACTGCCAACACCACCGCTAACTTGTTTCTCGTACCACTCACGGATCTTGGTCTCCAGTTCAGTGTTGGCTGCTTCCAGGGCCCTAACTTTATCTAGGTAGGATGCTAGACGGTCATTGAGGTTTTGCATCGTCTGCTTTTCGCCTCCACCGAAGCTGCCCAGGCCGCCTGACCCTGCTCCTCCTCCTCCAAAGGAAAAGCCACCGCTGGATCCACCGCCATAGCCTCCCCCAAAGCCACCACCATAGCTGCCTCCACCTGAGGCAAAGCCACCACCATAGCTGCTGCCGCCACCTGAGGCAAAGCCACCACCATAGCTGCCACCGCCGCTGCCACCACCATAGCTGCCGCCTCCGCCGCCACCACCATAGCTGCTGCTGCCACCACCATAACCACCTCCATAGCCACCACCTGAGCTAGAAACTTGATAAGCTGATGAAGAGCTAAAACGGGAAGCCATGGTGGATGCACTGGTGTTCTGACCCAGAGATTGTGTAAGAAGGCAAGTGTGGATGCAGAGTCTGATCTTCAGCCTCTACATTTATACAGACTGCAGTGGGTGTTTCACTTTCAAAGTGAGCTTCCTACTGGAGGTATTTTTTTTTCTTTTTTAGCCCGGTCAACACCTGTTTGTCACCTAGTCTGACAGATTCAGTCCGTCCTTCCAGAAATTATGCAGCCCTTGGGCTGTTTGTTATATGTTGGCTAGAAACTGGGAGCGGCAAATTCCTTTTTCCTCTAGAGGCTTGTTCTACAGTCCCCCTCTCTATTAACTTGCCTTCAGCATCATGGTATCAGGTTTACAGTCTGCTATCAGCTTCAGGCAGTTACAGTCTTGCACAGAAGAGGCTTCCCCATTAAATCCTATAAGTTTAGCTTGAGTGACATACATAGATCCTTTTTTTCTTTTATATATATGAAAATTTATTTGACATGTAAACGACACATGGCAAAAATGTCACATTATCTCGACAACACTTTTGTGGATATGAGCAATCACTGTGACAACTTTGACTCCATACTTGTAAATTTGGTGGTAGTTGCCTTAAGAAGCCCTGCGTGGAGTTCTTCTATATATTCACAATCAAGTCTACCTTTTAATTCATAATATGGACATTTTTGCACTAGCTGAAATATGGTGCTCAACAGTCGAGCGATGGTACATGCTGCGGACGATTTACTAAAGGAGTAAAGCATGATTACTTTGCCGGCGAATTATCACTTATAAAGCAAAGTTGATCCGATTTCCTTCGTTCAGTTATGTGCAAGGCAAAATACTGTTGTTGTTTTTTTATTTCCCTTGTACATGATTGGTTTTTCTTTGCAAAGTGAATTTTCACCACATTCACTAAATCATCGTTTCTCAGCCACATTTCAATCATGGCAGCCTTTAAAAGTATGCAAAATCTCCAGAAACCCCAATCTGTTAAAGTTGAAAAATGTAAATATAAAAATGTAAAAAATTACATGTGGCCCTTCCAAAATCCAGACCCTTATCCCAGATAGGAGTTTGGTATACATTTTAAAGGAGGACCCTATGCCAAAATACAAAAAATGGGGTTCCCCATTTTACAACTGGACCCTCCTTCACAACAGGAGCCAACTGCTTTCAAATCAGGAGTCCCCTCCTTCCACATCAAGAATCCCCCCTTTTCACATTAGGAGCCCCCTTCACTTCTGGAGCCTCCTCCTTTCACATAGGCCCCCTTTCACATCAGAAACTCCCCTTCCCCCCCCTGCATCCGTTACATCAGAGCCTCATTTCACATCAGGATTCTCCCTTCACTTCAAGGGCCCCATTTTAGAAACCTGCCAGTACCATGGAAAGGAATGACTAAGCAAATATTTTAAAGCACCCCTAAGGAAGCCAGAAGGCACCCCAGGGTGCCACATCACCCTGGCTGAGAAAGGCTGCACTAAGCAAAGTTAAAATTGCTACTGAAGCTGCATAGGGAATACAAATCTCAGCAATACAGCAACGCAGAAAACCAATAGTTAAAGAGAACTACAAATCTCAGCACCACATTATACAGCAATTTAGTATAATACCATCAGCTATAGAAGACTACAAACCCCAGCAATATATTATACAGCAATTTTGATTGGCAACCAGCTATAGAGGACTACAAATCATTACAATGCATTATACATCAATGCAGAATAATATGAAGCTACATACTCTGGACATTGCTGGGGACCTTAACAGCCTTCCTGTGAAGCGTGCCACCTTTTTACCGGCTTCAGCTTAAAAAAGTAAAGCGCCGGTATGGGCTTTTATTGTGGGGACATTTTCACGAGTATCGGCATTGGTTGGCAAGGGGCTGTCTGCTGAAACTCTTACAGATACATATTATCATTTCTAGAGCTGACAGCAATCAAGAATATTAAGTGATGGTCATTTTACAGGAATGAGCACACCTCTGTATAGAATTTCCCATTCTGTTCTACCAGTGAAATGATATCCTGATGCATACCAAAGTGTAATTATGCTTTTTAGATTTATGAGTTTATTCTTGTGCTGCTTAGGGCTCTGAATTTCTGTGTGATACAGTATTTTTACAATTTGTTGCTCTATAGCTGCCATAGAACTAGACATCCAAGCCCACTCTAACTGGAAGTGAATACTATGACACCAACTTGACTACAGTCTTTTGTAACCTTTTTTCCTAGCTTCTATCCATCTTCTATTTATCTATTTGGGGTATACTGTATATGTGTTAAGATTTCTGAGCATGGTTTATGTTACACCCATATCTAGGGTGTTCTGACAGTGGCCCATCAGCCACTGTCAAAATACCAACCTGTTCAATATCTTGTTCACTCCAAAAGTGGTTAAAAGGTGACATTTTGGACCACCCATAGATAAGAGATTGTTATCCAAGTGTCTTATGCCTACAGTACCTGTCCCCTTAGAAGATCAGAAAACAATATAAATTATTTTTTAGATTATATTTAAGTTCTAAAATTAGACATTTTGAAGAGTTTTAGCCTATACCGAATCCCTTCATTCTGTAAACCCAATCACTATTTTGTCATTTTAAAAGTAATGCCTACTCCATAGAAGCCATGGTTTTTACATACTGCACTTAAGATGGCCTGAGCCAGTTGTATGTAGTTTGGAATAAATGGCTCTATAAGCTATATTTGCACTATACATCAGTGGTTCTGGATATGCATCTGGCCAATGGGGCGTAAAGCAAATGTGTGCATGACTCCAATGCCCTGTAATGATGAATAATTCTCTTATTTTTGGGATATGTGCAAGGCTTTACTTAAAATATCTAGTAGTCTTGTCCATAAGGGCACTCATTTCCCAGTTGCAGTCTCTCGAGGTCTCCTGCGCTGACACCAAGGACTTGCGACTTAGCCTACAAACGGTTATTTTTAAACATTACCCACACATGGTCAGGGCCGCCATCAAGGGGTATGACCGATACCCATGTAAGGAGCCCAAGGCTGGGGGGACCTACTGACAGAGGAGGGGTGGAGGCAGAAGAGGCCGGGCCCCAGCAGCGCCGGTCAGGCAGCAGAGCACATGGTCCACTGTTATTGTCACTAGAAAACCCACTGTGATAAATGTCATGCAGTCATCAGTTGAGTGTAGGGATGCACAGATACCACACGTACTCACCCAAATGCTCCAATACTTACCTCCAATACTGGAACTTCCGGTCAGGGGTAGATCTTCCTCTGACCAGCAGTGCCGGGGGAGCATGGAGCCGTGTTCCTTTCCAATCAGGAAGCCGGGCAGCAGCTTATGACCCGCCTCCCAGCTTCCTGATTGGCTAGGAAGCTGGCTTCACTTGTTGTTAGGCAGCCTGGCTTCCTAACCAATTAGGAAGCCAGGCAGCACATAATGACCCACCTCCCTGATTGGTCAGGAAGCCAGCCTTCTAGCCAATCAGGAAGCCGGGAGGTGGGTCAGGACGTGCCGCCCAGCTTCCTGATTGGCTAGGAAGTCGGCTTCACCGGTTGCTAGGCAGGCTGGCTTCCTGACCAATCAGGAAGCTGGATGGCACCTCATGACCCGCAGCCAGGCTTCCTGATTGGTCAGGAAGCCAGGCAACTTCGGCAAGTGAACACTGTGTTCTTTCGATAGAACACCAGCTTTACAGGCAGTCAGGAAGCCAAGCGACGGGTCATGATCCACCGCTTGACTTCCTGATAATCGTGGCACTGGTATCGGTATTCTGCATTGGCGGGTACCGGAAAAAAAAATATTGAATACCGAAAAAATGGTATCGGTTGCATCTCTACTTGAGTGTATGCAGACAGAAAGTGGCGGCACAGAGGCTGCAGGAGATGAGCACTCAGATACAACAAAGGTTTAAAGAAGAAAAGATATATATATATTTTTTAAAGGTAGTTGTTTATTCAAGGCGCCTTAACAATCTAAATGTAATTAAGTTAGAGATTACATTTACCTATCTCACCATTGCTGCCCAGTAAAGACAATGGCATGCATATTTGCATTGTACTTGTGTGCTATATAGCAATCTTTTAAGTAAAATTATATGGTAGGATTAAATCAAAGAAAATGGAGACAATGTAGATCTTGACTTGCAGCTCTTAAAGATTTTTTGGGACCAACCTCAATCAGCACTGTGGCCTTTCATTCCTCTGCTAACCCCTAACCCTTCTCTCCCCTGCCTGACTTGTCTGCTCAGTTTTATGGCCTATTACTTTCTCCAGTTTTCCCTCCAGCAGGCCATGACACTTATCTTCCTTTACCTTATTATCTCTTCTTTATGAATTTGCCCATACAAGACAAAGTCCAGATTCTCACCAGAGGCCCTTCTACAGATGGCCCTCAAACAAATGCAGTCTCCTAATGCCAGAGCTAAAATGTGTATTAATGTATATCTAACCCAAACCTCCCAACTGTCCTCCATTTGGAACCACATCCCTCTGTCCCTCAGTTGGCCTTTTTTTGGTCTGATGTACAAATATCTATAAAAAGGTTCTATTTAACTACCCAAAGTGTTATTCTGTACTTAATCATTCATCCTATCTTTTAATTATCGTGTTTGCTATTTTGAAAAGCTAGAATAAAGAAAAATGGTGAAAAATTGTAAAAAAAACGATTCTGGGTTTAAACAATCATTTTGGCATATAAATTCTTAATGGTTTGCAGAACTGGGGGCATAGTAGGGATGTGTCCAGGGCCGCCGTCAGGGGGCTACAGCCATCACTAATGTAAGGGGCCCCAGGCGGCTGGGGGGACCCGGTGTCCGACCAAGCAATTTTTACTATAAAATAGTATGTACGGGCAAGTTGGTATGGTCCCGGGCTCCCCCTGTACATTTAGTATGTTCCTGTACGTGCAGGAAAAGTTTTGTTTGTTTTTTCTTCAAAGCGCGGAGCAAAGAAGGCAGGAGAGGAGGACAACTACTGTTTTTAAAAAGCAGCTTTTAAAGCAGCTGCAGAGGGAGGGGGGTGTTTTCAGAAACACACACTAAGGTGGGGGAGA